TCTCCCCTTCCTCCTACTCCCCCTACCTCCCCTTTCCTCCTCCCCTACCCCCCCTTCCTCCTCCTACCCCTACCTCCCTCCCCCCTTCCTCTCCTTCTCCTCTCCCCTACCCCCTTCCTCCTCGTTCCCCCTATCTCCCCTCCTCCTCTCCCCTACCTCCCTTCCTCCTCTCCCCCTACCTCCCCTTCTCCCTTCCTCCTCTCCCCCTACCTCCCCTTCCTCCCTTCCTCCTCTCCCCCTACCTCCCCTTCCACCCTTCCTCTCCCCTACCTCCCTTCCTCCCCCTCCTCTCCCTACCCCCTACCTCCCCTACCTCCCCCCTTCCCCTCTCCTCCTCTCCCCCTACCTCCCCTTCCTCCCCTTCCTCCTCTCCCTTGCCCTTTGTCACGCCAGTTGTCTTTTATGTATGTAGTGCTTTTGAATCTAAGCCCCCCCCCCCCCCCCTCCCCGCCCCCCGTCTCTATACGATTCCCTGGCTCGCTTTTATTGCCCCCCCCCCTCCCGTGTCTCTCTCGTTTCTTGTCTCTTGTCTCTTGTTTCTCATTTCTGTCTCTTTGTCTCTTTCTCTCTTTTCTCGTTTTCTTTCTCGTTCTCGTTTCTCGTTCTCTCTCTCTCTCTCTCTCGTTCTCTCTCGTTCTCTCTCTCTCGTTCTCTCTCGTTCTCTCTCTCGTTCTCTCTCTCTCGTCTCTCTCTCTCTCTCTCTCGTCCTCTCCTCTCCTACTTTCCCTCTCTACCTCCTTTTCAATATAAATCCATTCCATCACCATTTTTCCTTTACGTCCCTCTCCATCTCCCGTATTCACCTATCTTCTTCCTTCCATCTCTCTTCTCCTCCGCTTTCTCTCTCCTTTCCATCCTCCAATGCTCACTCACTTTTTACCTCCCCTTTCTCCTACCTGCCTTCGCTATTCCTCCCCTCCCCTCCCTCGTTTCCATCTCTTAATCCCTTTCTTTTATCCCCACCTCCCTTCTCTTATTCCTCCACTTCCACTCTTCTCTTATTACCCCCTCCTACTCCCTTTTCTTATTCCCTTCCTCCGCTACCTCCTCCTCCTCCCTCCCTCCCCACCCCCTCCTCCCTTCTCCCTTCCTCTTGCTCATCTCTTCCTCCTCCCTCCCTCCCTCCTTCCTCCTCCTCCCTCCTCCCTCTTCTCTTCCTCCCTCCCTCCCTCCTCCCTCCCTCCCTCCCTCCCTCCCTCCCCCTCATCCTCTTCTCTTCCTCCCTCCCTCTCTCCCTCTTTCCTTTCCTCCTCCTTCTTTCCTTAATCCTCCTCCTCCCTCCTCCTTCCCCTCCTGTACCTAGCCTTTCGGG